TGATTGATTACAAGTGCTAGAGATGGCATGAAGAATGTTTAGAAGTGAGAAGAAAGGCTTGTGGATATTTGGTCCCAAATGGGATAAGAACCCAAAACCATTGCTTTGAGGCAGTGAATGGCTTGTATAAAGTTATTTTGGGTTAGAATATGTTATAATACAATGAATTTGATTGATTACAAGTGCTAGAGATGCATGAAGAATGTTTAAAAGTGAGAAGAAAGACTTGTTGATATTTGGTCCCAAATGGGATAAGAACCCAAAACCATTGCTTTGAGGCAGTGAATGGCTTGTATAAAGTTATTTTGATTTAGACACTACAAGAAAACAGTCATTTAGCGACTACTATAGTAGTCACCAAATAGTCGCTAAATGCTAAATTACGACTAATTGACGACTAAACTTGTAGTTGTAATTTGACAGTCGCTAAATCCTGTAGTCGTAATTTTAGTCGCCAATTAACGACTAAAGTTACGACTATATTGCCAAAGAATGGTATAGTCGTAACATTGTCGCTAGTTAGTCGTAAATATACACGACTTATTTGCGACTAAATTACGATTAACTAAAACCGTAGAAATGCACTTAGTCTTTGTTTAGTCGTACTAATATAGCGACTATTTGACGACTACGGTTGGCGACTAAGAAGCGACTAAACTTGTGAGGACTATATAATAGTCACTATACAGTCGGTAAAATTGCGACTACTTGGTGACTAAATTAACGACTATTTGGTGACTAAAAATATATACAGAGCGACTAAATTAACGACTATTTGGTGACTAAAAATGTATACAGAAATAAACAGGTTCTATCCTAAATTTGTTTACCCAAATTGACCTGAAACCAAAACCAAAACCAAAAAACCAAAAAACCAAAATATTGAGAACAAAATGGAAACCCAAATAAAATAGATTTAACATTCAAGTATCTTACATTAAAGTTACATATAGTTTAGAGTTAAAGGAAAAAAATCATACACATAATCTGAAAAGTGACATTGAGTAATTGAGAAGAGAAACCTATGAAGCAGATGAAGATGCATTTGAAGTTGGTTTCTGTTGAGGAAGAGATGTGGCGAGAGGTTCAGTGGCGAGAGGTTCAGTGGCTCTTGTGTTAGCTAACTCACTAGCGAGGAAAGAAAGGTATTGTGGATCCTTTCCTCGCATATACTTCTCTAACATGGTCAAGGGTTCGAGCTTGTCCTGCTGCTCAGCCACAGCTCGGGCTTGCTCAGCTACAGATTCGGCTTGCTCAGCCATAGCTCGGGCATGCTCAGCTTCACGTGCAGCAGCCTCTGCTTCACGCTTCTCCGAATTAGCAGCCTGCTCTTCTATCATGCGTTGAGCTTCCTTCAACTGTTGTTGTAGAGACAGAAATGAAGAACAATCACCTGGTTGCTTTCGCTTGCCATTAACCAGAATAGTGTCCTTCAGGCTTCCAATCCCATAAGGTATTCCTCGTGAATCTCTCTCAGTGGACTGCAAAGTGAGATAAAACTAGAGATTAGACCATGACACATTAAAACAATTATCTATAAGAATGTATTAGCAAAATAAACTTAAACCTCAAGGAAGATTGTGGTATATTCTTCTATTGTGAGCTCTCGTGGTCGTGAAGCTCCATCAGAAACAGCAGAAGGTGATGCCTCCAGCTCAGACAATCTATCTTGCACATTCTTCTCATATGTTTTTGCAATATTCTCTGCTTTCTTATCAACATATGTACCATCATGTTTTGTATGTCTCTTGATGAAAACCTCACCTAGAGTGACCTCTCTTCCCAATTTTTCTTCCTACAATGTATCGAAATAAATAGAATTAATAGGAAGAAATAACAGAGAAGTCAGAGTTGAAAGTAAGAGCTGAAAATGACTCACCATTTCATCTTGGAAGTAAGAGCTGAAAATGACTCACCATTTCATATGACTTCGGTCCTGAGAAGTGGACATGAGGACCGAGACCTTTACGGTCAGACATACGGGCATTGGAATAGGTCTGACTCCTTTGATGTGCTTCTTCAATATCCCAGTACGCACACATTGTATCCCAGAGAGTGCCTTCAATCCATTTAGGTCGCTCTCCACTAGTCCTCGCATTGCTTACCATGTCTTTCATTCGCCTTTGACATACTTCCTCGAAGCATTGTTGTACAGTCCCTGTTATCAAAGGATCCCATGTGTGGGTTTTCTACAAAAAAAATAAAGGAAGTGTGAGTTTTTATATATGACAGAAACTTATATAAGAAGGATATAGATGACATAAACTTTACCGCGAATTCAAGAAAATATCTCTCTTGTCTGTCCTGAGGCACACATTTCCAGCTATAGTACGGACCATCAAACTTGTTTGTAAACACTTCTCTAATACTCCTCACAAGTTTTGATCCTTTATCACGTTTGCCAAACCTCCATACACATGAAACATACAATAAGTAACACATGTTACAAAAGTTTGTGACACTCTTAAACAGATTCAAGGATCTAATTCAAACTCAACATCAGGGACCTAATAGTAGTGTGTCTCATATAGACAAACCAAATGAAAACACAAGTCCTGAGAAAACATTTAATAGCATTAGGAATAACAAGTCCTCAGAAATTAAAAACACCATTAGAAACAGCATTAGGAATAACAAGTTTCAACTGAGATCGGGTCTACTTAAGTTCAAGCATATGTGAAATTAGGGTGAGGTTTACTATTCTAGTCTAGAGGCCAGTTAGCTAAACGCAATTCACAGAAATTTTACAATTCACTTAGCTAAACGCTGTTCATAGAAATTTCACAATTCACAATTCACAATTCACAATTCACAATTCAACATGTTCAGGTTAAGAAATCATACCATGTCGTGTTTGGTAAGGCTTCAGGATGGAGGACCGTGGTGAAGTTCTCCCTGCCTGGCACCGTCAGCAGGGCATTAAGAGCCCTCAGCGTGTCCTCCTGTAGTTCCGGCAACACCGGAGGAGCTTGTTGGAAGTTGTTGCCCTGAGACGATGGCTGACTGTGGCCGACAGAGGCTTGAATTGGAGAAGTTGGAGACTCGGGCTCAGAAGTAGCTTGTCTTTGAACCTCTTCTGAATGAGGTTGTTCTACTTGACATTGTGGGGTCAATGTGCTCTGGAAAAGCCTTTGAGGTGGGGGATAGTCCCAGAAATGAGACGTCGTTGATTGCCCTGGCTGAACGGGGGTGGGTACATCCGGCGTGTGCATCGCAGGAGGAACTTGGACCGGCGCCGGCGTGAAGTTGTACTGACTGGGCAGATTATTGGGTCGTAGGCTAGGCGCTGTACCTCTCTGCGAAACGTTAGGAGCGTTTCGTCTCTTTCTTCCTTTTCCACGATTAGGCATCGTTAGACTTAGAGAGACTGAGAGGAAGATGGAGCTCAAATCGAAGAAATTAGAACCGAGAGAGATTGAGAGAGTTGAAACCGAGAGAGTGATAGATGAGCAATCGAAGAAGAAGAGTGGATTTTTAGGGTTTGCGGGATTGCGAGAGAGAGAGAGAGAGAGACAGAGAGAGACGAAGAGAGATTTGAAACGGAAAAGGAACAGAGATTGAATAAGAAGAAGAAGAAGAAGTCGATTGATAATCGAAAGACGAAGAAGAAGTCGATGGGTAATTGGAAATGTAGCAAAGCTAGGGTTGTTCCTCGGCTGCTGAGGAAGAAGAACAGAGTTAATGGATCAGTCATTCGGTTTGGGCCTGATTTTGGGCCCAATTTTAGAAATTAGTCGCTAAATAATCGTAAATTAGTCGCCTAATGGGAAAAAATTTAATTATTAGCCATACTTTGATAATTTAATTATAAACTTATTTTAAACTATTAAATTTTAAAAATAAAACTAAACAATAAACATAATTTAAGGTTTTCACACTAATTTTATTTTTATTACTTACTTAGTACATTATTAAACATAAATTAAAGATAAATTTTGCAAAAAGAGAAAAATGCACACATCGTAAACATTATAACTTAATTACTACGGTTCATCGTCTTCTTGTTCTTCTTCATCATCAGAAGATGATAAATTACACATGAATTCATCTTCTGGATCTGCATCTTCGACATTGTAATCAAGGTTTATTGGGTTTACGTCTTCTACGTAATTGTCGACTACAAGATCTTCAATCGTAGTGATCAATACAGCATCATCATTTTCTGTTTGCAAAAGAGTCGATTCATTGCTTTCATATTCTCCTAATATGTTTCCCCTTGGATTTACTTTTAGAACATTAAGCCACTCCCGCTTTGGTTTTTTGTGTAAGGATACGGAATATAGCAAACTTGATCCGCTTGAGATGCTGTATATATGAAAAGAATATGTATAAATAGAAATATATATATATATATATTTGTATACTTAAATATCTTGCATATAAACGTACTTACCTAAAATAAATGGTTCATATTTGTTGTATTTTCTCGATGAAAGCACGTCTACAACGCCACCATTGCTTCTTCGAGTTCCTCTACCAATAACAGGGTCATACCATTTACACTTAAAAAGTGTGACTCTCAAGTTTACCATTCGTTCATACTCAAGTTCCATGATATCGGTTAAGTTCCCATAGAAATCTGCATCATCAGATGCATCTGTGTAATTTTCACCCTTAACACATACACCATAGTTACATGTCTTCCTTCCAGCGCCATGATTTTGTGTATGAAACAAATAGCCTCTTGTAAAATACATTGGCCAAGTTTTCACCTTGTTCAAAGGTCCATGCACGATATCTTGAACCCAAGTAGGAAATGGATTCGTGGCGTTCCAGTATGTCACCTGTATTTAGGGATAATAAGAAAAACTTCAATATATGAATATAAATAAATATATATATATATAACGGAAGTGACATAGAATAAATGAATGCATTAGGTAAGAAGTTGTATAGAGATACATAATCTTTCACCCAAGAATGATATTCTTCTGCTATTTTCTTGGATAGTTCTTTCTCAGTCAATCCTGGATATTTTGTAGAAAGACAATCCTCGAACATACTACACATAATTAAAGCAATATTGGTTGTAGAAGAGGCCAAATTAAAATGTAAGTTTGTGGAAAATTATACCTCTCAATTGGTTGAAAGTAGTCACAATTCCGTAAGACATATGCATGTGCGCATTGGTAGTCTTTCTCTGAAAGCCATACTTCATGCATTTCTCCACTTGGACGACCGACGTGAGTAAATATATTAGGTACTCCAGGGAAATGGTAAACAGGGACTTCACCTTCATCAAATCTTGTTAACCTGATCAAAATAAGTGAATTAAAAAATAGACTACTATAATAAGTGAATTCATATATAATGCTTAAATTTAGTAGTACCTTGATTTTGTTTGTATATGATCGGCAAAGTAATGCTCCGAGAAATAAGCAATCTCATCATTGATATATGACTCAACAATCGATCCTGCCGCATATCGTTTGTTCTTTGCTTTTCCTTTCAACTTTTTGAAAAACCTTTCAAAAGGATACATCCACCTATATTGAACGGGGCCTCCCAATTCGGCTTCGTAGGGAAGATGTATAGGTAAGTGCTCCATGACATCAAAAAATGAAGGTGGGAAGATCTTCTCTAAATTGCATAGGATCAAAACAATGTTTTGTTTTAAAATTTGAAGGCGACTTTTCTGCAAAGTTCTCAAGCATAAGTCCCTGAAAAATGCTCCAACCCCTGCAAAATCAATATATCCAAATTAACTCATCTCATACATAGATATATGCACAATATATATAAAAACATATTTATATGTTAAAGTTAGTAGTACCTGATAAAGCAAGATGAATGTTTCGATCTAGGAGTTCTGCAAATATAAATGGAAGTAGTCGCTCCATAAAAACATGACAATCATGACTCTTCATGCCTGAAAACTTGCCATTGTCCATATCAACACAACTTGTCAAGTCTGACGAATAACCATCGGGAAATTTAACCGAATGTTTCACACACTCCAATAAACTTATTTTCGCTTCTTCTGTCCGTGTATAAACTGGGAATGGAGCTTCACCCTTATTACCAAGATGTAAGTATGGCCGATCACAGAATTTTGCAATATCCAATCTTGACATGATGTTGTCTTTTGATTTACCTTTCACCCTCATAAGAGTATTCATGATGTTGTCCAAAAAGTTCTTCTCCGTATGCATGACATCAATATTATGTCGAAGATTCAAATCCTTCCAGTAAGACAACTCCCATAATATGCTTTCCTTGTGCCAGTTATGTTCCTTCCCATAGCCATGCATCTTCTTTTCATGACCGTTACCACCGACGTCCTTGGTTCTTGGTGGATTTACACCATCCAACCGCTCGTAATAAACTTGCTCACCAGTCAAAGAAGGAGGTGGATATTCATTAGAAGCATCTCTTCCTTTAAGGAAGTCTTTTTTGTTCCTTCTTAACGCATGACCATGAGGAAGAAATCTTCGGTGGCAATCAAACCAAGATGTCTTCCTTCCATTAGGTAGATAAAAAGACTTGGTACTTTCCATACAAATTGGACAAGATAATTTACCGTGTGTGGTCCACCCTGATAACATGCTATATGCCGGAAAGTCACTGATCGTCCACATCAACGCAGCCTTTAGATTAAAATTTTGATTCAAAGACACATCGTACGCATCGACTCCAGTAGACCACAACTCTTTTAACTCCTCAATAAGAGGCCGAAGGAAGATATCGAGACTAGCACACGGATGATGTGGCCCAGAATTCAGAATAGTAAGAAACAAATACTCTTCTTTCATGCACATACCTGGAGGTAAATTATACGGAGTCAATATCACAGGCCACAACGAATGATTACGATACATGCCAAATGGATTGAACCGATCAGTACATAAGCCAAGATAAACGTTACGGGGTTCTTCAGCAAATCGAGGATGTAGCTCTTGGAAATTTCTCCACTCCGCCGCATCAGAAGGATGATTTAACTCTCCCTCCTTTGACTGGTGCTCCGCATGCCATCTCATTGAAGCTGCAGTCTTGTGGCTCTGATACATTCTCTTCAACCTGTCAGCAATAGGAAGATACCACATACGGCTATATGGTACTTTTGTTCTCCGTCGATCTTCCTTTGGCTTCCATCTTTGTGCACCACAAAACAGACATTTATCTTCTTTTTCGTCTTCTTTCCAAAAAATCATACAATTGTTAATACATACATCAATTGTATGATATGGGAGGTCTAAATTGCGCATTAACTTTTCTGTCTCGTAATGTGAAACGGTTGACTGGTTTCCTTCAGGTAAATAATCCGTTAAAATTTGGCAAACTGAGTCCACTAAATTTTCACTCATATTATGCTCCGCCTTCTTTTGCATGACTCGGGCAGCTAAGGATAATTTTGAGTGACCTTCACGACAACCATCATATAATGGATTTTTTGCACCTTCTAACAAGTCATAAAACTTCTTTGAATGGTTACGTACTGGTTCTTCAACATTCTGATAACTACCATCATGATGATAGTTATCATCAAAATTACCCACGTTATAACGAAATGCATCATTCACCATATCCACATATGGATCTTCTACTACATTACCCACTTCTTCATGACTCTCACTTATGTATGTCCTATCAATATAGCTGGATCCTATATCCATATTTATTTCTTCTCCATGCTTATACCAAACATAATAATCCGGCATAAATCCTTTACTAAACAAATGACTCATAACCCTTCTACCCGAGATAAATATTTCATTCTTGCAACCACTACAAGGACAGTAAAACTTACCCCCGTTACTTTGTACTATAGGCTGGCTATTAGCAAATGTCAAGAATTGCTCCACCCCCGCTTCAAATTCTGCTGAGAAATTCCCCGTAAATTCATCGAATCTCTTGTACATCCACTCCCGATAATTACCACCATTACCACCGTAATTGTAATTACCCGCCATTACAAGAATATTAAAATAAAAACTATTTCTCTTACTCTCGTTTTTTCTTCTACTCTCGTTTTTTTTTTTATCTTTGATTGTTGTATGAATGAGTGAAGAGGACAAGTGAGTGGAGTTTGGTTATATAGACGATATAGGTGACTAACTAGCGACTATTGTACGACTATGTTACGACTAAGTATATAGTCGCCTCAGTTAGGTACACCTACCCCAAACGAAAAACACGTTTTTTCTAACCAGCGACGACGGCGATTTAACGACTACTGGCCGACTAAACATACGACCCGCCGCTAGAAGTCGTAAAATAGTCGCTAACTTTACGACTAAATAATATAGTCGTAAAAATAGTCACTAAATTTACGACTAAATAATATAGTCGTCCATATGGTCGCTACATACCGACTGTCAAACGACTGAAGTTTTTCTCTGATTGTTTAGTCGCTATATAGTCGTTACATGCTGACTATCGTTACGTAGTCGCTGCGGGGCGACTATGTTACGACTAATTGTTTTCAGTCGTATTATTGTCGTAAAATAGTAGGTATTTAGTCGCCATATTTAGCGACTAATTGTTTAGTCGCTAGATGTAGTCGGTAAATGACTGTTTTCTTGTAGTGAGAATATGTTATAATACAATGAATTTGATTGTTTACAAGTGCTAGAGATACATGAAGAATGTTTAAAAGTGAGAAGAAAGACTTGTTGATATTTGGTGGCAAATGGGATAAGAACCCAAAACCATTGTTTTGAGGCAGTGAATGGCTTGTATAATGTTATTTTGGGTTAGAATATGTTATAATACAATGAATTTGATTGA